GGTTCAGATCTGATGGTTTGCTTCGTCTTTCAGATACTCTGCTGACCACTGGCTGTGCCAGAGCTATGCACACCATCATTTCAGGCAGCAGCATTTGTAAACGCTGTCATCACTTGTCTGGCAGACAGGAAAGGTTAAATTCACCAGGGACTCAAGGTTGATGGTGAGCACGATCCTCCACAACACACTGTCCGCATGAATGGTTTCGTACATACTGTCTATTCCTTGCCAACTCCTCTGGCAAGCAGACTTAAGAAACTCCCCTGACCACCACTGTACAGCCTGCTTAAACAGGTTTCTAGCCTGGTATTTTTGGCTCACACCCCTGAAGTCTGTACATCTCTGCATTTCAGTCTTGGTGTCAGGTGATTAGGCGCCACACTCAGCGCATGATAGAAGCAACTCTACATGAAGGAGTTTTGGACTGAAGGGAGGAGGTCAAGACTTTAAAAGTTCAAGTTGTGCTTCTCTGAATTAACTTTGGCAATGCCTGAACAGGCAGCAGCTGGATGCTAAATGCTGTGTTTCACTAGCAGGAGGCTCTATCTGGAGCACATTGTACCCATCCAATTAGGATCAGTCTCACTGGCTATGCTAGTCCTTCTCAGGCTGAAAAACCACTTTAATAAAGATTAGCCACACTGCAATACTCATGCCTAAATATTGCAGCACAAGCTCTTTTGAAAGCCATGAACCACCTCTTTAACTAGGAGAGGGACTGCCATGGGCACATTCCTGTATACAGACAAGCAGGTTTTGTCCTGATGCCATCAGTACTCTGTAATAACTGGAGGTTTTTGCTACGGGGCTGTCTGCCATGAGCAGAATCTCACCACAAGAAAACAACATTCAGAAAAGCCACAAGAAGGAACTGGCTGGGGGAGCCACATATCTGAATTACAAAGAAGAGAGAGAGAGAGAGAGAGATAGGAACTTCTCTGAAAAAGGCAAAAAAGGATGAAACAGAACTTAACCAGATATAATGAGGCTCTTTTTCAACACACCTGAGTTTTTTTCTGAGAAAAAATGATACAGTCAACTTTGTTACACAGAGAAAAATGTATTTCTGAGGGTATATAGCTAAAGCCACTTGCTTGCTTATGTAACTGCCTTCTCCTTGTCAAAGAAGATGCAGAATCTTTGGATCTAGCTGTCGCATACTGTGAGAGGGTGTCTGTCCAGAAATGACAAAGAAGATTGCAGCAAGATAAACTGATCCTACCAGTTTTCATCTCCCCGGATTACCTACTTCAAGGCAAATATGTGCTAGTACTGATTTCCAGCCCTTCTCCTGTGTTTTTAATTCCCTGTCCCTCCAGTGTATGGCTGAAGTGGGCTTGATACAGTCCTAGCTGGTTCAGATATGCAGCAAAGAAACAGCAGTGCAAGGTGTACCACAGGTTATTTGCCTACTACAGAATGTAGTCCAGAAGAAATTTGCCCCAAGTATAGCATTATTGCAGCTGTGAAGCTTTTGCTTTACAAATCGAAAATGTTAACAAACTTTTACAAGTAGTCATCAGTATTGGTTTGCTCATACCTCAGATTTCTTGAAACTGTGTTATACTGGACAGTGAAAATAAGCTGCAATATGCTAAGCTAAAACTGTTTACATAAGCAATTGCAAATCAGATGCTTTGAGCTGTGCTTAGTTTAAGGCCTTAATGCCCTAAGCTCCCTTAATTTTTAGGGAAGGAATGTTGGGGGGGCTTTACTTCATATGGTTATTTGGAGATCAGAGATTACATAACAGAGTAAGTTGTGAGAGGCCTCTGGAGACTATCTTGTCCAAACCCAAATCTAAGCAGGGTCAGGTGTCTTAGGCTTTTGACCAGTCAAGTTCAGAGTATCTGCAAGGACTGAAACTTCACAGCCTCTCCTGGTCCACATCAGACTACCCTCATTATGAAAACATTTTAAACCTATTACGTAACCAGAATTTCCCTTGCTGCAACTTGTAGTCATTGATCTCGTCCTTCCACTGTGCACCTTCAAGAAGAATCTCTACTTCTACAAAGTTCATATGTTCCAACTTGCTTCCAGTCTGACTTAGTAATAAAGCAGATCTGCAAAGGACAAATAAGTCTGATACTGAATTTAAAGGAGCTATACTGCTTTATCAGCATGGAGAATCTGGCCCTTCCAATGTCAACAGTAAGGCAATGTATAGACAGCTGTATCTCTAAGCATCTGAAAATGCTGACACGTTTAGCTGCCTCGTATTTTCAGGCTTGGTTTCAACAGCCAGCTAACCTGCAAATGACTTTCACGGAGCATAAAAGCACACTTGAATATCCCCAGCTTTTACATAAAAAATAGCTCAGGAAACTCAGACAGAGTCTTATTTCCCCAGAGACTCTAGAGCCACATTTGAAAAGCCAAAGTTACACTTCCAACACTTCCTAGTCTTACATCTTCCACCCACATTCTTTATTAGACTGTAATTCTGAATGCTGTTGTTTGCTATGGGATCTCTAAGCTGAGGTCCCAAGGCAAAGGGAACTATCAAAGCTACAGTCAGAGAAAGTTTCATCTTGCAAGAGAAAATGTTAACATAGAGTCCCAGATTTTTTTTCATTTCTTAATAGTTTTAAAAAAAAATTAAAAATAGAATAACTGATTACTTGTTGAAAAAAAATACAGTTTTCTATATTCCCTGCTGGCAGAAGTCTTGATTAGTTCACAGGAGTCTGTTTTGTTAGCAGTTTAATTTCTTATATAGTCAAAATCAAAGTTAGTTCTTCAGTCTCTACTGGCCCATAACTGACCTTGTGTTACTGTGTTTTGTTCAATCTGATGAGTTTCAGCTTTGCAAAGTCTGGTTTCAGTAGGATTGATACTTCTCAGCACTGTGCAGATCCTCCCCTTACATAAGAGTCTTGTCTATAATACAGTTCACCTTTCCAGAAGGAAAAATGTGGAGGATTTAGAGTGGATTGATAGGGAGTTTCTTTTGCTCATCACCAAGTTATAAGGGTCATTTTCATATCCAAGAAGCTGGTATGAGACACCAGAAACTCATGTGTCTCTCTGAAGCCACATTCTCTAGTCCTGGACATTTCTCAGGTGCCAGCAGGACAGAATATAGTAAGCCATATATTAAATGGGAGGTGAAAATCTTCCAAACAAGAAACGGCATTATGAACTGGGAATCCTGTCTCATCTACAGAGGATGTAGTGTCTTAAGATTTCTGCTGTCAGCAGTGATATTTCCCTTTTCTTGCATATAGCAATAAACCCCCTTTGCAGTAATCTTTTGAGAAGGTTCAAGTAAATGTAATCAGGGCTTCTTAGGAGAAGGTGCCCTTTGTACCTTCAGCATAAACAAACACAAATATTTCTCATTTCAAATCTCTGTCCCCATAGTGCCAGCAAGATTCAGTGGAAATAACATTTTTCTCTTGAGACTGAAGCCAGTGCTGCAGTTTAATGAGTAGTACTGGTAGAAATAGGCTGGTGGAAAGTCTAATGATACGGATTTAACTGTGTTGGACATCAGCTTTATTAGGCTGTTTCTGAGACATGGTAATATTGACAGTCATGATAAATGACACTCCTCAGTTATTGTTGCATGACTGGTTTCCTTTCAAAGTCCCCAAAAGGTTTAGAAAAGATGAAATATTTACAATGGTATCATGTCTGGGCTCCTTCCTAGCAAGTTGATGAACAGAATATTTTAATCCTTATTTTCTGTGTCAACAGAGTCACAATGAGGTTTTGCTTACAGAATGAAAAATGTAATTTTTTGGCTGGCACAGAGCTCACTTTATATTGGCCTAGGCGTTTAGTTACCTTTTCACTGTTTTAGCCCTCCAAAGGATGCTAATGGCTGAACAAAAGGGGCAAAAGGTACCAAGTCTCTTTGAGGGGCTAAGCTGGTTAATTTTTCCCATTAGAAAGAGTATGCCTCTAGTTACATAGTATGAATTGTTAGTTGTCATCAGACCACGGAAGACCAAAACCAGCCACTTAGAATAGCAATTTTCTCTAACAACATGGTTTCATTGAGAATTACTTCAGGTCACTGAGTAGCAAGCTCATCACAGTCAGTAAAATAATAGAATTTTTATGCACCCATCAGATGCAGCTTTCTGAGCTCAGTAGAAAAAACCCTGTGATTCATAATACTTGTGGTATGGCTTTTTGTGCTGGTCACTCTGAGTCAGCTGGAAGATAATCCATTTGTGCACCAGAGAAGATTCTAGCTTTTGGATGAGGCTAAACTCCACATTCTGCAGCTGCTGCTTCCTCTTCCTTGCAAGACCTTCAGCATCATAGAGAGCAACTGAGACCTCATTCTAACTTATATTAAGTGCTATACAGAGTTCGTGATCTAAGTAAAATATCCTGGTATAGGAGGGCCTTTTCAAAACACTATAGGAGTGTTTAGGGAAGTACTTTTTGTGATCACACCACAACAGGTGAAGGAATTGAGCATTGGAATTCACAGCAGCTAAACTTCTGCATGGGCTTTAAGGCATTATTTTTAAGGTTAAGTTCTTTAGGTTAAGCTTGTTTAGAAAGTCCCCACACCACAATGGTACAGTCAGAAAAATACCTTTTCTTTGCAACAGCAGAGTTAAACTGCTGGCTATCCCTGCTGCTGTAGGAATGGTATGGAAAGAGAACAGCAGTCAGTCAGGGGTCAATGGCTGGTCCAACACTGAAGGACTTTGGTGAAAAACTCATTGCAGGGCTCGTGTGGTTAAAATACGTAGGTGTTTGTAGCTGTTGACATGCAGTGGATCCATGGAATTAGAAGTACAAATGGACACTTTTGACTCATTCCTTTAATGATAAAGGAGTGTATTCACGTTGTCTGCTAGAGAATGTCAGGAGCCAGTCACCTATGATAGGTACATGTCTAGAAGGAGTTGTAGATGCCAAGATGCCATCCCAACTGCAGAGCAATATACAGAAATTGCTGCATCTCTGAATCTTCTTGTGGTCCTCTGGCCTTTTCCTGTAAAAAATAATACATCTTTCCTTCTTTTTCACAGTTGAGAGGAAAGGGAAACGAAGAATCCGGACAACGTTCACAGCTGAGCAGCTCCAGGAACTGGAGAAAATTTTCCAAGTGACTCACTACCCGGATGTCCATATTCGCAATCAACTGGCAGCAAAGATAAACCTCCCAGAAGCCAGAGTTCAGGTACAGTGTGTTTCCAAAAGGCTATGTTCACTGCAATTCATTCATTATTTGGAGTGCATTCTTAATAGTTTATGCCTGGGTGGCAATGCCAATGAGATACGTGACCTCTCTCTTACCCTACAGACAAGGCCACTGTCACTGTTCTCTTTTTACAAATAGGAAAAGAAGTGTTTTTCGTCCAGCTGTGACTAATCCCATGGAATTAATCAAAGGGTTAACAGAAGCTCTAAGCATACAAAATGCATAGCAAATATGAGTTACAGATGGTTATGAGTAACCTGTTGGACTCTGTAGCGACAGAGCAGCCATTTATGAAAATATTTATTAATAATTTATCAGCCATTTATAGGTTAATATTCATCCAGTATAAACTGTCATCCACATCCATCTTCTACAGGGTCTCAAAACATGTGAAAATAGTTGCCAAAATGGAAGTGCTTCATAGTATTTCGATATGACAGGCTGTAAATGCCCTGGCTATAATTGCAGTGCACAGAAACTAATCCGGTTTTCCCCAGTTGTAATATAATGTTGCTGACTGAGCTAAAAATTGACCCCAAATTCTTACTGCATAGGAAATCTGCTACATTAAAATATACATACCACTCTGTATTGGCATTTGGTGTTGCCTACCAGGCACTGTAGTGATGATTTTTGCATGAGGCAGTTTCTGCACTTGCTGCAATGCTATAGTCATTGGTGTACTTCTTTGCATATATCCCTCTGTAACAATCAAAGTTCAACACAGAGCTGTTTATTGACTATGACATGCCTGGTACTATTGACTAGCCATGATAATATTGCTTCATCGTTAGGTGACAAGGAGAATTAGACCTGCATTGCCACAATATGCCCATTAGCAATACCAGTACTCCAGCAATGCATTTCCAATGGCATGAAAGACAAGCTGAGCTGCCAGTCAGTGTTCTCCACAGAGCAATCAATCACATGAAAGAACAAGATATTTTTCTGTTTAAAAAAAAAATTGTTTATAATCTGTATGGGGAAAAATAAAAATTAGTTATTACAGGAAACATCAACCTGAGATATAAATGAAAGAAGTAAAAAGTCCCTCATGTATGAAGTGCAGATGGCAAATTCCCAATTCAGACAGTGTTGTACAGGACAGAGGAAATTCTGTCTTTCACCTCATCCTGGCTGATAAAGGGAAATCAGCCACAGAACTAAAAATTACCAGTAACTTGGGTTCAAGTTACAAGTTATAGTTTTAATTGACTGCAGTTGTCATGCAAATCAAACAGCACACAGAGAATTTTCGTGTGCTCTTGCTACTTTGAAATAGTTTTCACAAAGCTAAAAGCTTTGTGTAAGTTAAATCATCTCAGAAATATAACTTAACTATCAAAAAAGTAAGTGAACAACCATTTGGCAACCAAATGAAACCCTTCATAACTGTGAAAAATCTTGTGTCCTCCAATCAAGAACAAAAGTTATGATTGCTGTGAAACAGCTTAAATGGATAGATGAACTGTATAACTGTGTGTGTTACACAGAAAAAAATTAAGAATCCTGTATGAGTAAACTTGAGAAACAAGAAATTATAAAAAATAAATAAGCAAAGCAGAAGGGTGCAGGCCAAAGCTTTGGTCAGAAAAATTAAGGATCAAAAACTCAATAAAAGTCAATTAAGAACAAACAAAAACTCCAAAGTGATCAATTATATTGATCTGTTGCTTTGTAGAAACAGTAGGATTGTCAAGAATAATGCATAAATGGCAAAGATGTTCAGCCATAATTTCTGCTCTATCCTTGGAAATATGTCAGGTAACACTTTCTATAAGGATAATGTTGAACAGCAGCTGCTACAGACAGGTATTTTTTAATCTACACATCTAAGTAACTTGCCCCCAGTGGTTCTGAAAAAGCTGCTTGAGAAGTAGTTTAGGTCATCAGTGTTGATATTTAATCTGTTCTGGAACATGAGAGACATTCCATTCCAGGGGCCTCGAAGAAATCAGTTTTTAAAGGGTAAACAGGACAACCAGATAATGACTGGCCTGACAGACAAACATTGATTTTTGGCAAAACCTGTGAAAAGAACTGCATATTTTGTTAATGGAGAGTTAAAGAAAATATAACATATTTTATGCTTATCAGCACTGGTTCATGAAAATAGACACTGCCAAACTCATCTTTTTATGGTGAGATTATTAGTGACAGTTTTAAACAGAAAGAAGGTAGATTTACTTTGTGTATGAGGAAGAAATTCTTTATGGTGAGATTGGGAAGACACCAGAACAGATTGCCCAGAGAAATTGTGGGTGTCCCATCACTGGAAGTGTTCAAAGTCAGGCTGAATGGAGCTTTGAGCAACCTGGTCTAGTGAAATATGCCCCTGCCCACAGCAGAAGCGTTGGAATGAGATCTTCTTTAAAAGATGCATTTCAACGGAGACCAGTCTGTGGTTCTGTGTATTTGGTTGATAAAGGTAGACAGAGCATGAGGAATAGGTTTAAAACACACTTAAAAGGACTTGTGCTGGGTATGGAGAAATCATTTTAGATGTAAGGGTGCTGGAGAGCTGGTTTGGAAAAAAAGAACAGTGTGGTCTGAGAAGTGTTAAAATCTTTGCCTTTAGTTAAATAAAGCAATCCATGAAGCGAGAACTTTATCCCATGTGCAGATTTTAGAAGGAGCGCTTCAGAGAGTGAATGTTGGCTGGAGTGCCCCTTTGCCCTCTATCACTCTGTGAATGTTAAATGGTGCTGTTTCACCATATAACTCCTGCAGGGTAGAAAGGGAATGGAAAAGTTCGTACAGACTGAACAGTTTCCAGACACATGCAAACCCAGATAAACAAAACTGTCCTCTCAGTAACCCCAGATACTTCTAACTATCAGCAGTATAGCAGCTAACTATCAGCAATATAGCAAAGGGCTCCTGACATTCCCATTACTTCTTGGGTGAGAGATGGAGAAATAACTGAGCTGCTCATTATTTGGCTTAAAATACGTACATATTTACATCCAGTAGCACCTGTCTTCAATAACCAACACTTTGTGTTCATGTGAGCCACTTGCTTACATTCAAACAGCCAGTTCCTTAGCAAGCTACAAACTACAATGGAAGGGGGCTTCAGCTTTTCGCAGCAGTGCAGCAAGATGCACGACTGCAGCTGCACAATAAATACATTTATGCCTCTGCCAGAAGGCAGACTGGTCAAATCAGCTGACAGATGAAAGGAACTCCCCAGAGAAAATTAGTTGTCTGCTTTCCAGTGCAAAAGAGACGGCTGACAGCATACTCAGATTGCTGAGTGATCCCCTTGGGTCTTTCACTTAGGTCCCTTATGTGAATTTCCAAATGCTAGCAGCTAAACATAGGTAGAACCCTGTTACTACATCTCCACTGGTGACACACTTTTATTGCAGCCCAGCAAAACATCTAGGTGGATCTTTTCTCAGTCTGTTCACTTGGAAACAGGGTGGAAGAGCTCTGTCATGAGACATCACACCTTCTAGGGAAAACAGAATGCTGTGTGCATTGACCACTGCACAGCTTTCTCCACAGAAGGATCTGCTCTCCCCAGAGAGCCCTGAAAAACCTGCAATATTGTCTTTCCTTGAACAGGGTGATCCTATTTCTTCTGTGAGCCACAATAGAAAACAAGGTATCATGGTCCAGAGATCCCATATGCTATGCAAAGTGTGAAAAGTGCTCTGTCAAACCCAGTGGTGTACTTTAGATCCGGCCCCTGGTCTTGCTGAGCTGGAGGTCAATGTTTTCTGATACTCAGAGTTTAGGGAAAGTAGTTGGCTTTGAGAAGTTCCTCCCTCATATTCTGTTAATTTCTGTACCTTTTCTTTCTTGCCGTTATCCAGATCTGGTTCCAGAATCAGCGAGCAAAGTGGAGGAAACATGAAAAGTTCAGCAATTTTGGTGGCCTTCAGTATCTGACAGAAGTTGATTTTGTTCCTGCTCCCAAGTCAGATATCACAGTGAGTATTGGACACTTAGTGTCAAAGCCACTGAGGGAGAGCCAGGTAATCGCTTCACCAGTAATGCCATGGGACTACCCCAGAGAAGGAGCGCTGCAAAAGACAAAACTGGCAATGTGATGACAAAAAATCCCACCATCAATCCACTGATCAAATAATACATTTCTGTATAGAATTAAACCTGTTTCATAAATATTCTGTGAGGTGTCTCTTGTAGGGTGGTCCTTCCCCATTTTGCTCCTAAATCACTTCCCTGTAAATCATACTTTGATTCAGAATGTCTTTATAATCAGAAATTTCCTGAAGAGGAGGACCTAAGACATTTGCAGCCACAAACCCATGTTCCTTTACAGACAGAATCTCTTTACAACATCCAGCCTTGGTTAGGCTGACCAGAACCTTGACCTATGCTTTAGCAGTCTAGGACTGTTATTTTTTTAGGCTGCCACACAGGCTCTTTCCCTGACAGGTTTTTTCATGGCTAGAAAAAAGAATGTTTTGCTTTGTGTCCTGGGTGACAACACACCACTAGGTTTTAGGAAGTCTGTTTTTCTAAACTTTTCTTCTTAATTACTGATCACCAGGGAAACAAATAAGGTTGATTGTAAATTTCATCTCAGTAGAAGTCCATATTGATTCACCTGAGACTATGCTTTTATTCTTGAAAGGCTCCTAGCTTGATGCCAAGAAAGCTCTCTGTGTCCTATCCTGCCGTGGGATACTACTCACCACTGCAAGGACAGCTGACAACTGCCTGGCTGCCCAGCACGCTCTCCTTCACTCCCCACCACGTGGAGCTGCTGCCCTTCCCAAAACCATACTTGCTCTTCAATGTCCTGCCCCCTTACGGCTCGCTGCTACCCCACAAGCTGGAAAGGAGCAGGATCTGTGCCGGCTCCTCATAGAGGAGGACACGGGGCAGTGGGGGCTTTGGGGATGCCCTTCTCCTCGTGTCCTCCCTGGAGGTGTGCGGCTCCTCTCCTCGAACAAACCTGCTGGGATGATGGGTGGCAGTGGTGCCAGGTCACCATGCTGGAGGATGCTGCCAGGAGTTGCCACAGCCCAGTGGATGTGTGCAAGAGGCACCAAGGACCAGAAAGGAGCTCCTCATCTCCCTGAGGAGCAGCATGTTCCGTGGAAACCCAACCCTTCAACCAAGAGCCTCTCCCTAGAGGGACAGTGCAGCAAGCAGCCCTGTGAAAGGACTGGGATTTTACTCAGCCATGAGACATTGGATGACCCTATTGCACCGATGGCTTGGGGCAGGAAAGATGCCTGGAATAAAGTGGACATAGGCCTAAGGTCCAGCCAAAACTGCTTTTCTCTGCAGGTTTTGGTCACTTTTGTCATACATTCTGGTCTTCATGTACTGGGCTGCTGCAAAAAACATGTTTAGGTCAAAAATCAAACTTTCAAGATACTTTTTTTTTTTTTTCCAACTAGTCAAATGTGGGGGAGGAGGGTTGATTTGCTGTCTGTGTTTTTGACTTGAATAAAGGGGAACAAACAATCTGACTGAAATATTATAGTCTGAGCTCTGGATTTGGTACTGCAAGTCTCTGGGGGCAAGAGAATTCTTCAGCTCGTTAATTAAAATGCTTATGAGGAAGCCTCTCATTTTTTGACCTAAATTAAGAAAGTTCCAAAACTCCCCCAGAAACAATAACAAAAAGAGACAGCCTGAGTTTAATCTGCTAGGTCTAATAGGATGATATGACCTCACAGTTTAGTTTAATTGTAGATAAATAATGAGATCGGTCTGCCCATTTACAAAATGTCTCTATCCCTGTTATTTACATAATACTCATCCCCTTCCAACATATGGTGCTTTTCTCTCCCCTGCTTATTCAGGGTCCAATCCTGCTTCCACTAATGTCTGCACTGTATATACTGTATTTGTACTCTTACAGTCTTCCACAAGACCTTTCCTCATGCCTGCTTGGATCTGAATTCTCTATCATGTTCATCCCTGTCATCAGTCACCTAAAGGACACTCAGGTCAGATACAGGGCTAAACCAGCTCCATCAAAGAGCTTAAACACCGAACTGATTAAAATCAACACAAATTAGTTGTGGTTTTCACCTCATGCAACTTCAGATGACTGCATTGTAGCCACACACACACACTCAAATTACTTAAAAGAAGAAAAAGTGATCACACTAAAGTTTCTGAATTAGGTGCAGGTCACTCTTTAGTGCAGTTTCTGGAATGTGAATTGTCCTTACTCAATGATTATCTGGAATACAGGCAGCATAATCATCTAAAGCTAAGGGGACACGACACTGCACTGAGCCCAGGGACTCAGGCCAGCACCTGCATTGAGACAGCTTTTCCTGCATGAATATTTCTTCAGCCTAGAGGAGGATTCTGGGATGATTACAACATGACCATTTTCCTTGGTCAGGACATGGAGGTACGAAGCTTAGGGTACTACTTTTACATTGTTTCATACTCTGACATTTCCACATAATGCCAGGTTGGACACACCAGTCCTTGGGAATCCTCAACTCTGCAGTTCTTCAGAACACAGGTTTGCTTTGGGCAAACATGTCTTACACCTGACAGAGAGTTGCTTGAAGAAGTCATCCAAGGAAGCTGACCACACAAGACATGAGTATAGAAATGTAGTCACCGCTTCATCTTAACCTTCTTCACCTGATGTCAAGTGATTCAAGTGACAGGGCTTACAGGCCCCTGGGGGGGACTCCTGCAGTCTCACAGCTCTCCATGACATTCCACTTGCATTTTCCATATGACAGCTTCAACCTTTAATCTTCCCTAAAACCCCTTGTGACCTGAACAATTTCTCCCCCTGGCTTATGGCCCTGATTTCCATTTTCACACTGACATTTTTGGTAAAAGAAAGACAGTAAGAGGTAGAAAGCTTTCCTTTTATGGTTGCTGCTGTTGTTTTGTGGGTGTGGCTAGAAAAGAGGGCTAGGGTTTTGAGGGGGTTGTTTACTTTTAAAGGTTTCTCTTATTATTTTCTTTTTTTTTTCCCCCTCATGTGTTTACCATGTGTTTTGATCACAGTCAAAAAGAGAGCATGCAAAGAGGGTGATGCCTGCTCTGCAATTCCGTACAAGTACACACTAGACCATGGGTCAAAAAAAGTTGTGATTCAAAGCAGCCAAACATCTGGTTCCTCGTGCTTTTTGATCAAGCTCTATGTCCCCTTCCCACTCTGTGCTCTGACCTGACTTTGCTGAGTGACTGTAAAATATCTTTTCTCTGTTCCCTCACATCTCCCTTTAGCCCGGACAATGGGTCTCACCTAAGGGCCTGCTTGTGTTTTCTTGCTCTGCTCATATTTTGCCCCTGTGTAGTTACATTTGGCTTTGGTATGAGAAAACACTATCACTTTTAGCTCTGAAACCATCAAATGAGCTAATGTCTGTGCATCTCAGGGAGATTAACACAAAAGACTTGGTGTAAATATGGGCTTAATTCAAAATAAAATGGTCAATGAATTAATTCAGATGGACTTTTATCCAACCAGGATAGTTTGGCTCTTCCCAAAAGGTCTCCTGTGACACCTCCTCCCTGCTTGTGTCCTTATGCAAACCTGCTCTCTTCCTGGGACAGCATTACCCCACTTCCAGGGCATGTTCTTGCTTCTGCTGAAATCTGTTATTTACAGTGTCTATCCAAAGATACCAGCACAGAATGATTTTATTTTCAAGCAAGTAACAATAAAAACTCACCTCCTGACCTTCTGAAGCCCAGCAGAATGGAGAGGGTGGGAAGAGAAAATGCCCTTCATTCCAGGTCTTCAGAGCTGGAGCTTCTGAAAGGACTCTGGAGTCTGATCAAAAAGCCACAAGGTGGGTTTAGATTAAATGCTTTAAAAGGAAACCCAAACAGGTTTGGTTTTCAATAACCCCAAAAACTGAAATCTGTGTCTCAAAGTGCAAATGATTCATTATTCCACCAGCTATTAGAGACATATTATGCTGTCATGGGCATTTCAAGGAGAGGATGTCCCCTCATGGGACAGCTTGCATTGGCTCTCTGACCCTTTCTGGAGCCATCATATCAAGCAGTACATGTCGGCCACCTGAATGATCTGAAACCTGTTTAAGAATTGAAAGAGTACCAGCCAGCAGCCACGTGCCAGGAATCTGTAGTAGTTGTCTGTTTCTCTGCATTTCAAAACTCTCTTAGTCACATTCTTTGCCATTACATTACTCGTCTTTGTTACATGGCTGACGTTGAGCTTACAGGACAGAAATTCACTGAATCCTTCATCATCTTTGATTAAATATAGATGCTGGTATTTACAGCCTTGCAGACCCTGGGCCTTGTCAGCTGTAAATGCATCCCAATGCTTCCGATAGCAGAGAAGAGACACTTTGTCCCTCAATAATAGGATAAGCCAATTTAACACTTTCTTTCTCTGCAGGAAGCACATTCCTGACGGTAGGGTGACCTTTCCTCTGCTTGTGACTACTGAAGCTAGGAAAACTTTTAGGGCTCTCAGCAATACCAGCCTTGTCTATCCCTAATCTTCCCCTCTCTGAAGCCTTGCTTTTCCCCACCTCCTTTCTGTAGTCTCCCACACACATTAACAGGACTAATGCCCTTGCTACTTTTGCTTTATTCCCTTCACTAATATCTTTTTGGTGCTCTGAACTCAGAGCTGTCCCATATAACACTGCCAGGATTTCCCAAGCAGAAGTAGGTACACACTCTTTTTAGGGGTGCCTGGCAGGGTAAACACCTCCTGAAGAATGACCACCATGAAAATCTTACTGGTGTAAGGACCTACACAGAAGGGCATTTTCCTTTGTTTTCATGGAGCAGAAGTAAATAGGTGTCTGGCATTCAGGGTCTGTCTATGAATCCCAAGATTATCTTTCTTATAGTTACGAAAAAGCAGGTCCCCACCAAGGGGTCTTAAATCTGAGCCTGCATCACAGGAGTTAGCAATCTTTTATTGATTGCGTTTTACAGCACTCCACAGTGCAATCTGGCTGCTCTCAGACACTTGGAATTTCAACAAATTTTAACTTTCAAATTTTGACATTTCTCTGTGTTATCTGTCTGCCTCAGGCCGATGTCTTAAATCTAAGCAATTCAGTCCCTGAGGCTGGGCAAATTGCGCTTTTTAACTCAGGGTGACAACATTTTGGTGCCCTTTTGGAAACAGCACTTGGAGCAGGAGCTTGAAATCTGGCACAGAGGTGACCTTTTCTGTTAATTTTGCTCTTTGCCGTCATTGTCACCAACTACTGTCATCTGGCCAAAGTATTAGTCTATGAAAAGTATTGGTTTGCACAGGTTTATTCTGTATCCTTTAGATGATGGCAATTACATTCCTTATGGAGTCAGTGCTCCCTAGGAGCGTTTACTCTGATGGCTCAGCACAGTTTCCCCCACAAGTTCAGTTCTTGGCTTGCTATGAACAACGCCTGGCCCAGACTCACAGGGCCCTTTTCCCTTGCTTCCTGAGTGCCCCACTGCCTCAGTCACAGGATCAGGCTGGTGGAGCAATCTCCTCAAGCCTAATAGTGAAACACATGAAATAAATAATTTCCAATGACCACTCAAAATATCGGGTGCTATGGGGCAAACACTGCCTTTTGATCTTTACCTTGCAGAAATCTGCTGTTCAGCTCTCTGTAACTGGGGGCTAGGAATGTCTCCAGGAAAGATGGTGAGCCTACCTGGGGGAGTCTGGTCCAGTCTTTGTTGTTACCAGCAGGAAAATGTCCATCAACCTTGGCAGAACCAGAGATTAGTGTGTGCTGGAAAAAAACACCTCTAACACACATACTCACTAAGGAAAACTGCAGCCAGAGGCCTCTTCATGTTGCACAGGGAGTTATTCAAATGCAGACCAGCATTAGCATAGCATTCCAGGAGTTAATATCATTCCAGGCAGTTTAGTGCTCTCCAGTATTA